TCTGTCAACTGCTTAAAACTATTTTTAATGTAATACTGCAAATGGCAAAGTTTTGTTCTCAAATATGAAGCCAGTATTCATACTCTGCTAATCTAAAAATACTACTGAGTTGGGGAAAACCTTCTACCACCACTAAGGAATGATACTGCTCGAGTATTATGAAGTCTGAAGAAATTGAGACGATACAGTATACATTGTGGCATGAAAAACAGAATCTGATTCATGCAATTATTTGCTATTAATCTCACTCAAGTCAATTGTGTAACAATCAGCTGCTGTGGAGACATTTTACATTTCTACAATACCTTCCAGCCCATAGGATCATGAAGTACTGCACAAGTTATATACTGAACAGCACTGCTGAAATGGATTCAGGTCTGGGGTGTAAGTTTACGTAACGAGGACCGAAACCAAGTACACTGGGGGAAACTTTTTTTAAAATGCCATAGAAGCTTTTCTGCCTGTGAACTTCAGAAAGAAGCTTGCATTTCAACACCCAGCCTGAAAAAAACTTTTAAAAACATACAGAAAATGTATATAGGAAGCTGGCAGAAGATAAAGTACAGGTTTGTCAAACATCGTTCAGAAAGTCTGCCTCACTGAACCTCTCCTAGTCACCATTTTGTATCATCTTTATAACGACTACTGCAACTGCTTGCCCATGTCAACACATTTTTAGGGATTCCTTACTATATTAGTTGTTTAATCTCATTTCCAAGTACTCTGCAAACTGCCAGCAAACATTTGTGATACTCAGAGAAAGATACAAGTTTAACAATAGAGCCACCCTTACCATTCTTCAGAGAGGGACAACATTTTCAATACCTCTCATCCTAAATGAAACCATTTTTTGACAGCTGTCACTCCCTGCATCTGAAGGGAGTCTCCAGGGCAGAGCCTGAGGGATAGGGTGTTTAGGGATTCGCTGTAAAGTTGTCATTTTATATTAAATGTGGGAGGGAAATATTTAACACCCCCCTCCCATCCAGCTCTTTTTGCAAACTGGAGCCTAAATTGAATATGGTCAGTTTTAGTAATCAATTTTCAATGGTTTTACATTTGGACTGCCAATTGCAAGAGAAGAGGTTAAACGTGATTCAAAATTTTGACTCTCTACAACAGAGAATCAAAGTCTAGCTCTGCTAAGAGAGGAATTTTAGAAGCTCACTATTGAAAGTCGAACCATCAGGTGATTTTACAAAGAATTCCATGAAATGTGAGTCTTTAATAACTGATTTTTAGAACTAATACTTAATTCTGGACATCTCAAATATGACGACTACGTACTGCTTCCTCTTGTGTAGAGGTGATAATATGAAAATGGGCATCAACAGACAAGGTATGGTCCTAATCACCTGCCTGCCTGCTCCATTTTTGTGAGCAGAGGGAGGGAAATTCACAAGAAGCTTGTGTCATTTGTGTCCTCAGTCTTACATTCATATGCACACATTTGTAGTAAGATTTCCTATGTGTATTAATGCAGTCCTTCCCACTTGTAACTCAAGTAACATTGTTTTATCACAAGGATTTTTTTTTTTTAAACTCAAACAAGAGAGAAATTAGCAGACAAAACCCCCACATATATTTCCCGGAAAAAGTTAAGCCTGCTAACCTAGACAGTGCCTTAGGTCTGTCATTTATTGAGAATGTCATTGTTTCAAAAGTAGCTAATGGAAAATCCCCCATCTCTGCCTACTTAACACATTGCTGAAGTTAGCACATGTTCGAAGTCACTGACAGACGCTGTTTTGAACACAAAGCAAAACATTATGCAAACTCTTTAGCCTTCATATGTGGGTGAGAAACAGCTTCTCCATAAAAAGGAGTTTATAAGGATTTCAATCTGTAAATAAGTTACAATCATGGGGCACTTGATTCAGCCCAGTACAGGTGCAAGTTATTTTATGCATAAACCAAGGATTAAAATTAAATTAGGAAGAGTGAAAATGGCCACACCCCAGGATAGTGAGTGCTTCTGAGCTGCTATCTAGAAACTCTTACCAAACAGCCCAAGTGAGGCCCCAAAGAGGAATACATACTTGTTTCCAAGTACTTAATTAACATGATTGTACCATGTCTACACAGCAAACTTAACATCTCCAGCAATGGTGCTCTCAGGTGTATCCTTATCTGCAGCCACACAGCATTGCGAGCAGGCTAATTGACATGGCTGTCATCTTATTGGTATCATCATTCAGTAGTGATGATTAACCTTCCCATGGCACTGCACTGAAGTAACTAAAACAGTTCTGGATTGGGCTATAGCCTGTATGGATAGCACAACATGCTTGAGGGCACTGCTGCCTGGAATGGCTATTTTACCTTATCGCTAATGCCATCAACCCACACATCCTCAGATAATCATGTGCATATGTTTAAATGGAGAAGCATATGGCTAGCAGGAGCATGAACACAGACTTTGGACTGCTAGTGCCACAACTCTGAGCAGTGTCTTGAAAACTTTTTTTTTTTTTTTTTTTTTTTTTTTTTAATTCTGGTAATTGGCAAGATGATGTTTTCCGGAACAGTCCTCTTCCATTTAAAGGAATAAAAGTATCTATTTAACAAAGTTTAATTACCACCTGTTTATCATTCTATCTGAAAGAAACCTGTTTTGACCCGGTATATACTGGTGTCTTTCTAAAAGCAACAGCTATCACAACTACCACTCAAGAGTTTAAGCAACAGCTCAGAAGTTTGGGAAGACATGCAATGACAGTGGATGACAACTGAACTCTAAATAGAGGATACAGAAAAAAAACACCTAAGAATACCTAGGTGCCGGTTTCACAGTTTTGAAGTGAGTGAGGGCAACAAACTCCGAGCCAAGCAAGGCTTCCTCACTTAGCCCATTTTATGAAGAAATATCCTAGATTTGTTTCTTACATATGGACAAACTATGCCTCATTCATTTGTTCTTGTCTGGGAAAAAGTGAAGTCTGATAGAAGGAAAAGGAGGAACCAGAGTCAGAAGTCCAACGTTCGTTCCAGTCACCAATGTCATGCTATCAACACGTGACATCGGGGGGGGGGGTACTTTATCTTAATGTGGATATACTCTTACGCATTTCTTATAAGTATTAAAAAATAGTGGCAGTCCTGAGATATTTGGATGATAGGTATGACAGTGCAGTTACACGATACTGACTTAACTGTCAACCTGATCTTCGTTGGGTGTATATTATGAAATCAAGAAGCGTAGAAGGAGCATAGTTAAGTTTATTTCATGAAAATTTCTTCAAGGGACCAGAGCAGCAAGATCTTAAATGGGTTCACCCTCTGTATTCTCTACCCAGACTGCATTGTTGAGATATCCACACCTACACCAGCTTCTTCTCCAACTATAATTTTATCTGAACTTTTACAGCGATTGTATAAGTGAAGTGGCCCCATCCCACTGTGGGGCCAAGTCACACCTTTCCCCAGAGAACTGGGCCACTCTCCCTCCACACACAGGGCTAGGCTGGGCCACCCATGCCCTCTTTCTCCCATGGAGCTGGGTTGTGGCCGAGTTGCCCCCTACCCTCGCTACATGGCCAGATGGAGCCCAAGCTAGCACCAGTGCCATATTGGGACCACTGGCAGGATCTGGCCCGTGGATGGACGAGACTGTCCATCTGGCTTGGTGGGGAAAAAGGTTGAGCACAACAGCTAAACCATGGGGCTAAAAAAAAATACTACAAGAACAGTTAAACTTGAACCTCCTGAAGCAAGAGTCTGTGACTTTATGCTACAGCCCAACTATTAAGCTTAAAGAGTTCTGTAACTAAAAGGCAACACTTTTCCCCAAAGAACTCAGCTGTTAATATAAAAACACTAAACATTTAATTTAATTAGTGCTATAGTTTTAAAATAAATGCAGAAGCATTTTCACTCTGACACGTGATCACAGATGCACCATTCCCCTCAGCCCCCAAGAACTAGTGAAAACACGTGTACACACACGCAGGCGCGCATGCGTACGCTTACTTTTTTTTGTTCATGTCAGTATGAGTTCATAAAGTAGGATCACTAGACTTCTAAGAATTACAAATCTAGCTGTACCCCCTTATGTCTTATGAAGACAAAGCATTAGGTCAAAGTTAGAGAGCTTATATTATTTTGGTTTCACAAATATTTGGTTGGGATGATTTGAACAGGGATGACCCTGCCTTGAGCACGGAGTGGATAAGATTAGCTGCTGGTGTCCTCTATGCACATTTTTCTACAACAGCGGTCACAAACCAGTGCACCTTGATCCACTGCTCCTGCCTTTGCGGTGCCGCAAAGGCAGGAGCAGGGTAAGTTGAGTGGGGCCCCGGCCACGTAGGACTTACCTGCCCCCAAAATAATTTTCTCTCCCTCTGACTCAATCTTACCTCCCCACAGACTTACCCGCTGGGCGGAGGGAGGAGAAGGGCAGCAGCGCACAGCAGATCTTGGGTTGCTTTTAAAATGCCAAAGGTGATCTACTTATAAAGGTTGGAGACCACTGTTCTACAATATGTGTATTGTGATATGCGATAATTTAAGGCATAATTTAAGTTGTAGGGAGTAACCAGAGGGTATTAAGCAATAAATATCAAACTCTTTGATTAAAGGGCACAGAGGATCAAACTCCAATTATTATGCAATTTATCTAGGATATTTACATATACAAAAAAATGGAGACCTAAGGTGGCAGAACTTTGATTTGTATACAGCCCTACCAACCAGTTGGACAATACTTATACAGTTTATAATGCCAATAAAAGTTTAGTTAAATTATACTGATTTACAGGTATTTAGATGCATAAACTGGGGGTCTTATTAGGACTCTGAAATGAGACTGTCAGGTAGTTGTAGCACACATGGCCCAAGGTAGGTCTTTCATAATACAACTTAAACTAAAATACCCAAAGGCATTGTCATAAGCATTCTGATTAAGAAAGAAATTTGAGCAGAGATGCAACTAATATATTGAACAGGGATATTTTTGGGAATAAGACAAACAGAAATATATAGAAAGCAGTCATTTGGGTTTTTTTAGTCCAGTTACATCAGTGGTCTCTGCAGGCTAGTTTCAATACTGACAAAAAAGGCAAAGTAGTAGAGGTATCTAGACAAAAGTCCCCAGCATAAGTTTATAAATAGTTCAGATACAAACCTAAAACACCAATCTCTAAGCCTTCCAATGCAGCTTTTATTTTAGTGTAAATATCTTCTCTCTCTCCAAAGTCTGCAACAATAATTTTTGTTTCCACATTGAACTTCTCTTCTGAAAATAATAAAGACAAAAAAGGAGAATTAAAATAAGTAGGGCACAGTTAAGTCAAAACAACTGGTCTATTCCCGATTTAAAGATCTGAAGGTACTTAAATTTTGATGGTTTAAGAGAAACCACTGCAATGTAAGTCAACATCACAAGGATACATAACATCACCTTAACTTGTGCCAAGCTAGTGTACCTGCTGTTTTGGTTTAAATGCACATTTAAGTGTATTACAAATAAAATCCTACCCTAGTTAAACTAAAAAAGATGCACTGTACTACTAATTTTTTTTATCCTCACCAGGAAAGCCTCAAATGATTCATTACCTTTTGTACACGAGGGCCCAGGTGGATGACAGGTACACACTACATAGGTTCTTAAGAGATCAGGGCTGTCCAACTTCTAATCGGTTCAGGGCTGCAAACCACATAAGGGGCTGTGCTATCAGGGACCACAAGCACAGGTTGGCACTCCCTCACCCCACTGCACTGGATGTGCAAGCAGGGGGGCACTCTTCCATGCCATTGTACTGTGTGCATGTGGGCGAGGGTGGGCACCCCCCACCCCTGCGCAGTGCACCACCTCACCTGCAGCAGGCTCCCCTGTGGTGCTATGCTGCACGGCTCTCTGGGCTGCATTATGCAGTGGAAGTGGGGAATCTGGAGCAACTGGGGCATTATCAGCTGGGTGGGAGCCCAGGGGCCACTTGTTAACCTCTCAAAGGCTGCACATGGCCTGTGGGCCACCACTTGGACAACCTTGTTATAGAGCATGCGAAACAGAAAAGTAAAAGCAAATTTCACATTCCTCCAACACAAGAGTGGGCAATTATTTTGGCTGGAGGGCCAATTAACAATTTTTGGTGATCTGTTGAGGGCCGCAAGGGCAGCCCTGCCCCCAATTGCCATCTTGGGTCCGGAAGTCCCACCCCCAAACTCTGACCTTTGCCTCCGAAATGGCTGTTGCATGTCTGCGCCCCCCACCGCCTCGCGAAGTACTCATTTTGGTAAATGGGGTTTGCCATCTTGGAACCAGAAAAAAAACCCAAATCATATACTAAAATCAAACAACTATAACATGTTTTAATTTTATTTCAACAAATATTCTGGTCCTGATTTACATGTGTTTGCATAGTGTACGAGGTGACTGCATAATAGCTCAAAATAGAGAGATAGAGAAGGCAGAGACATTTGTGGGGATGGGGGAGGGAGAGTTGTGAAGGGATGGCGGGAGTGTAGGCCACCCCACCACACACCTCCCTGCCTCCCCGCCCCCATGGTGCACAGCCCCCACTGCTGGGGGCAGCAGCAGCAGGTGGAAACAAGCCCTCAGGATACTCCTGACCCACAGCAGGCAGAGCCCCCCCCGAGTGGCATGTGGCTCCGGCTGAATGCCAGGAGCTGCATGTAGAGGCATGGAGCCCGACTGACCCAGCCCAGCACAACAGCCCATGTCTTCAAGCCAGACAGGGCTGGTTCCATGCCAGCACATGGGGCTCCCAGCACTACAGGCGAGGGCTACACACCATCAGGCTCGACTAACCCCGTGCCTCCACATGGGGCTTCCAGAACTCCAGCAGGGAGCTGCATGTAGAGGCATGGAGACTGCCCAGCTGGATGGCACATGGGCTGGGAACCATGGGGTCATGCGGCATCAGGCTAGGTGGGCTCCATGCTGCCATGTGTGGCTCCCCACTGGAGTGCTGGAAGCCCCACGTAGAGGCACGGAGCTGGCCTGCTCCAGCCTGAAGTAGTGAGACTCCCACCTGCAGTGCCAGGAGCTGCACATGCCGGCACGGAGCCAGTCTGGTCTGAGTCGGAATTGAAGTCAAAGGTGCATGCCAGCAGGCCAGCTCTGTGCTGCCACGTGCAGCTCCTGGGATTCAGCAGAAGCAGTGCGCCACCAGTGAACTCTGCCTGCTGCAGGCCAGGAACACCCCAAGGGCCCAATGCCTGATGCTGTTACTGCTGCCAGCAACCAGGGCTGTGCACAGTGGCTGGGTTGGGGGGCTACACCTACCCACAAAACCCCACTGCTGCAGGCAGGAGCTCCCCTCCCCACTCGCTAGCTGTCCAGTCTCATGTCATTGTGCTCGGTGCCTTCACATGAGGCTCCCAGATGGATTGCTAGGAGCCCCATGGAGGTGGAAACACAGCCCGTCTAGTCCAATGTCGCACAACCTCAAAGCCTACCTCCCAAGGACTTTCAGAGGGGCAGCCGTGGGTCAGTAATAATTGTTTTTTTAAGCAGCCCTGTGGGCTGGATAGAATGGCCTGGCGGGTCAGATTCAACCTGCCAGTTATATTTTACCCGCCCTTCCTCTAAAGTGCAACATCTCAGCAACAGTCCTTAGCATGTTTCTGTATATATAATTAGCTCACTAATATTAGCAAAGGGGAATTGGTGCAGGTCTTGCTCCAGCGTACAAAGACTCCTCTGGTCCTATATTGACTATCTTCTCTGGTTCTTCAGTGATCGAGGAGCCCAAGAAGCACAGAAGAAAGGGTGGCAGAACAAGGGATGGGGGAAGGGAGGAAAAAACACTTATAGGTTAATTTCCAAATCACCCAGTACAGAGTCACTTCCATTCTTGGCAAAGTAGTAATGCAGACATTACACATTCAGGTATTCCAGATATTTTATTCAAGCATAAAATTCTTATTTGTACAAGGAATAATAGTTTCCATCAAGTTAAATGTATTCTGCTTTAATTAAAATTGGCTCAGTGCTTCTTTCTTAGGCATCAGCAAAAACATAAAAGGCAAAAATAAATAAAAAAAAATAAAATAGATATTTTAAATAAGGTCATACAAAACACTACCTCAGTGTTCCTTAAGGAATTTGTATATGTTGTAAGAATGGCTATGGAATTTTTAAAAGATCATTCATAAAAATGGTGTCAATTTTAAAGAGGAAAAAAATCATTCACAAAAAATTAAAGCACCCCCATTCCCATGATGCTCTCTTCCATTCAATAAAAGTAGCAGCTCCCATGATTCTGTTGCCCATTCATGCAGAATCATGAATCTACTGCACTCACTGGCTGGCTTGCTTGCTGCTTTCCCCCCACCTTAACATCCCTAATGGCAGATGCAACTATTTTTCCCCCTCTTCATCTTTCATGAACAGCTGCATTGTTTAAAAATCCCCAAGGAGATGTTGCTATGTCAAATGACGACGTAAATACCATTAAGCCCCTACTGCAGCAGCAGTCTTGTGATCGTGTCAGAAGAAAATCAAGTTCAACATCTTTTTACTGTGGTGGGGAGAGGGAGGTAGAAAGATTCTATTTTTGAACACATCTGTTCTAATGTTAACACATACATGCGCACACATGAAATCTTATAGGACACTGAGGTAGAGGCGGCAATATAGCAAATATGTACAATTAGATTGGGCAAGTGAAGCAGCAAAATAGGACACTGCTGCACGTATCATTTGTGCAGTTTTACAATACATGTGACAATTTTCATTACCATTAAAAAAGGTGCTCTATGCAAAAGCACATTGTTTAAACAAGGCAGATCCTCTTAATAACACTTGCACACTTAATATTCCTCTGAAAGTATTTTTCATGGGGTTTTCTTTATCAATACTTACCTTTTTTCCCCAACATTTATAAAAGCATAAAAAGACACTGAAAGACAGAGGTAAGTAGGAAATAAAGACCTAATGCTGAATGGAGATAAAATACAGTACACATCATTGATGGTAGTTTTCCTATGCAACTGGTTTTCAAGGCTTTGGAAAATTATCTAGTCCTCAAATACATTAATATAAAATAATTAAACCATGCAGGTGTAACTAGTGTACATCATCTCTTATAAACGTAAAGCAAAGTAAAAGAGAAGCCCAAAAGAACATTACAGTGAAAAGAGGAAAATAGTAAATTGGTACCTGCAGCAAAAATGATATTATGGGGGTTCATGTTTAACAAGTGTACTCAGGATCCCTCCAGTCAACACTGCTGAACTGATACCAAGGCATTCTTTTACTGCATCACTCTCCTCTTCCTCAAATGATTTTTTAGGTCTAGTTTTTCGTTTTATTCCCTAAGCTTGCGCTCGGCAACAATTTTACAAGCAGCAGGCTGAAACAGCCCAGGCCAGCACTTTCAATGTGGCTGCTACCGCAGCTATCGGCTGGCTGTGGTGCCACAGCATTCTGCTGCTGCAACGGAGCTGAAGCCTCCCAGCTCCACAGACCAGTTCTAGCCCACAGGTTGCCAATCCCCATATTAAGCTGTCCCTCAGGCCAAATTATAAATTACAAAATTATTTGATCTTTGATTATATCAAAAGATAATCAAGGAAATCAGCTACTGATTCCAGTTGCCACAAAACATTAATGCACAAAGCTTGCTATTCATTTTGGTAGGGTTGGCTTTCACAAGCAACTGGCAAGTTAAGTACACTCATAGAAAGCAAGAATACACCCAGGTATTAACACTAGTTAATGTGCTCATGTTTTAGGAGAAAGGGATATGAATATTTGGAGCCGAGTTACTACACCTACCCTAAAAGAAGTCAACAGTGTCACTACAAGGATCAAAGAATGGATGGATAATACATAGGGACCTACCAAATACACAATTTCCCTGAAATTGTGTAATTGGCATTTTCCCGTGAAAAAATGTGGGGAACTGGCTATGTTCCAAAAGCCAGCAAAAAGCTGTTTCTGAGACGGAGGGTGGGGGGGAAGGGAGCAAAGAAAAAAAAAAGACGACTGCCCAAAACTGGGGGGAAGCAGGGGAAGGAAAGAGAGAAGGGCAGGAAAAGTTCCCATCTCTCTGTCTCCAGAAGGGGGTGGGAGGGAGGAGAAATAGGGAACAGAGAAACCCACCTCCCAAACTGTTTAATTAATTATGAATTGCCCTCTGCCCCTTGAAGAGGGTGATAATTATTGAATTAACAAGTTAGGCAGCTCCAGGTAAGGCAAGGTTGGGCAATTATATGGGCCCAAGGGCCACATTAGGGAGTTTTGATTAGATGTCATAGGCCAGAGCA